TGGCACTTTTTACAGAACTAGAACAAAAAATCTTAAAATTTGTATAGAGACACAAAAGACCCCGAATCGCCAAAGCAGTCTTGAGGGAAAAAAATGGAGCTGGAGGAATCAGACTCCCTGACTTCAGACTATACTATGAAGCTGCAGTAATCAAGACAATATTGGTACTGGCACAAAAACAGAAATATAGATCAATGGAACAAGATAGCAAGCCCAGAGATAAACCCACGCACCTATGGTCAACTAATCTATGACTAAGGAGGCAAGGATATACAATGGAGGCAAGGATATACAATGGAGAAAAGACAGTCTCTTCAATAAGTGGTGCTGGGAAAACTGGACAGCTACATGTAAAAGAATGAAATTAGAGCACTCCCTCACACCATACACAGACGTAAACTCAAAATGGATTCGAGACCTGAATGTAAGAATGGACACTATAAAACTCTTAGAGGAAAACATAGGAAGAACACTCTTTGACATAAATCATAGCAAGATATTTTTTGATACACCTCCTAGAGTAATGGAAATTTAAAAATAAACAAATGGGACCTAATGAAACTTCAAAGCTTTTGCACAGCAAAGAAAACCATAAACAAGACGAAAAGACAACCCTCAGAATGGGAGAAATGTTTGCAAATGAATCTTAGGACCAAGGATTAATCTCCAAAATATATAAACAGCTCATGCAGCTCAATATTAAAAAAACAACCCAATCCTAATATGGGCAGAAGACCTAAATGGACGCCTCTCCAAAGAAGGCATACAGATGGCCAAGAAGCACATGAAAAGGTGCTCAACATCACTAATTATTAGAGAAATGCAAATCAAAACTACAATGAGGTATCACCTCACACTGATTAGAATGGGCATCATCAGAAAACCTACAAAGCAAGAAATGCTGGAGAGGGTATGGAGAAAAGGGAACCCTCTTGCACTGTTGGTGGGAATGTAAACTGATACAGCCACTATGGAGAACAGTATGGAGGTTCCTTAAAAAACTAAAAACAGAACTACCATATGACCCAGCAATCCCACTACTGGGCGTATACCCAGAGAAAACCATAGTTCAAAAAGACACATGCACCCCAATGTTCATTGCAGCACTATTTACAATAGCCAGGTCATGGGAGCAACCTAAATGCCCATCGACAGACGAATGGATAAAGATTTGGTACATATATGCAATGGAATATTACTCAGCCATAAAAAGGAACGAAACTGGGTCATTTGTAGAGATGTGGATGAATCTAGAGACTGTCATACAGAATGAAGTAAGTCAGAAAGAGAAAAACAAATATCGTATATTAACGCATATATGTGGAACCTAGAAAAATGGTACAGGTGAACCGGTTTGCAGGGCAGAAGTTGAGACATAGATGTAGAGAACAAACGTATGGACACCAAGGGGGGAAAGCAGTGGCGGGTGGGGATGGTGGTGTTCTGAATTGGGCGATTGGGATTGATATGTATACACTGATGTGTATAAAATTGATGACTAATAAGAACCTGCTGTATAAAAAAAAAATTAAATTCAAAAAAAAGATTGCTCTAAAAGCTCCAAGTTCACTTACAACTCCCTGGACAATAATAGAGGGGAAGAATGGTAGAGACGAATTACGTGGTTATTTGTCCATATTCAGTTGTTTTTGAGGGTTTTTACTGTTCCCTTCATTTATTGATCACTAGGAAATAATTATTTGCAATAATACATTCATAAGTTACAGAAGGATCACATTATGTGACCATATGTGCCAAATTATATGACAACATATGCCTTATTATTTGTCTTAATGAATACAGTTGACCCTTGAACACCACAAGGGTTAGGAGCACTGGTTTTTCCCCAGTGCAGTGGAAAAACTACATAGAACTTTACGGTCAGCCCTCCGTGTTCGCTGTTCCACATTCATGGATTTGGCCAGCCTCTGGTTGTGTAGTACTGTAGATTGTACTTATTGAAAAAAATCTGTGTATAAGTGGACGCTTACAGTTCAAACCCGTGTTGTCCAAGGGTCAACTGTAATTACTTTTAAATGCAGTCAAATCTATAATAAATCTTAGGGAAGTTTTGAGTAAGTCTGCATTCAGTCTAATAGTAATGTATTGCTGAAATCATTGTCTTAACACTAATTTCTATAAATAATACAGACTGTATTATGACTCATTATAAGATAAGACTGTGGATATGTAATGTACACAGAAAGTAGAAATAAACAGAATTTGTTCCTCTATAATGACGCTTCAAAAGTGGTTGTCTTTGGTAGTAAACATGTATACTTGTCCTTAAAAGGTAACAACAAGGACTGTCTTGAATTTTAGTATGGGTACTTGGTAAATTAATCTCACCAACCAAATAGATTTTTAGAATGTAGATATAGAGGTAGATATAAATAGGTAAAATAGTGATTTCAGTCTTATTGGCCCCAATTCCACAGTTGTTATTTTCTCCATGCTGTAAATATATTCACAAAGCTAAAGTAAGGATAAATACCAATTTATGAAACTCGATAAGCTTTCTATAAAGGTTTCCTGTAAATTCTGTTGCAGGTGGTGTACTGTTTCAAAGTTCTTGGCCAGCTAGATATGCACAGACTTTCCAAGCTTAAGTTTTAGTCTGCATTTCTCAGTTAAAATGCAAAGAAAGTGAAAACATTAATGTCTTACCTGCCATCCTCTTAACTACAAATCTGCATTAATTTATATTTGCCACATTCTGCCTAAGTAAATGGATAGTTATTGATAGCAAATATAAAGGGGATATTTTAGTTTTTCTTCTGTTTTAATTGTATGTAATACTATCTGTGAGCAATAGCTATGGACCAAAACATTATGAATTTATTAGAGTTTTTACTTGCCCTCTTGTTTATTAGGGTCACAGAATTTATCTTGTCAATATGAAAGGGGGTGGTGGAAATGGTGTTACTCATTTTAATTCTTATTTCTCATTCTAAGGCCTAACCCAGCTATCTTGAGCTTGAGACTCTTTTTGAATAGCTTCACTTAGATCTATAAAACTTTTAAAATCAGCTCTAGCAGATGTATCTGTTTTCCTCAGTCCTGAGTCTACAGTTACCTATAGGATGTCTCCCTGTTTAGATATCTTCCCAACATCTAAAACAAAATTGAAAATTTGATCTCATCGTCTTCCTTCCCAGTCTCTCCTCTCCAACTTCTTCCTCATTCGTCAGGATCATAAACACTAACATCATTTTGGTCCCCAAGCTTTAAACTCTTGGAAGATTTTTTTTTTGCCTGCCAACTTTTATTAAAATAAAAAATCACTTTTTAAGTGATCCATGAAAATTATACCAGGGCCTCATAATTCAGCAAGAGCCCTTGTCCTGCCCAACTCCCTCAATCCCTCTCAGCCTTATGATCAGGATTCCTTAAACAGTTTAAATATCACACACTACAGTGGCCCCTGTAGAATTAAACTTAAATTTCCAACTAGTGTATTAACATATTCTTCCTTTCAATGTCAAATCTCTTCACCTATCACCCTCATGCCATTTGTTGAGTTTTTTTTCCTGATCACATTACCACGCTCATTTGGAGACAAATGGAAAGTAAAGAAAATTTTAAAGACAAAAATAAGTATCACCCATTATACCCATAAGACAAATACATATTTTTTATTTTTACTAAATTGACTTCATTGTATGTATACTGTTTCACACTGCTTTCTAATACAGTCTTCTGATATACTTAAGTTCATCCTTTTACTGTCGCTGAGACATAAATCATTTCTACATTCTCACTTCCTGAAATGCTCATATGCATCTTCAGAACTAACTCATATTCCGCATTTTTTTAAGATTTGTCTTAAAGCTTACTTTTTCAGTAAAGGTTCATTTATATATCTTCTCAGTATCTTCTGATATACATTTTGATGTATACACAGTACTAATTTAGTGGCCTTTCATTAAGTACCTATTATATGCTATATTCTGGAGACACAAAAATGAGGGAAAGATCTTACCTTTCTCCTTTGGAAGCAAACCAGTATGTAAAAATGTAGATTTACAACACAGATACAACTGAGGCTACTAAAATTGCTTGAGGGAATGCTAGCCCACAGGTTTTGGTTGATCTCTTAATATAACCCACCAACTAGCTGGGGAAACTCAACTGGGAAATCACTGAGTCTTGGTCTTTTCATTTAGAGAATGAGTGAAGGGGTGCAGTAGTGGAAGTGATAGCTTCCATATATTGAGCACTCACTATATGCTGGGCACTGTGCTAAGAAGTGCTTTAACAAGTATTAGTCTATTTCATTCTCATAATTACCATACAAGATAACTATTATGCCCTGGAGGAGTGTGCAGTGGTAGAGCAGAGCTTGGACCCCAGTTCCAGTACATATCCTCTCAATCACTAGCACACTCTCCTGAAAAATCTATGGAATTCCATTCTTGTTATTTCCCTTCTAAGGGATGAGCCAGAGGAGCTGGGTTTTAAAATCCCATTCTTTGATTCTAAGGGATCTCTCCTTTTAAAGTTTATAAAATGATTTGCCATAGACACCTACAGAGACCTCTCCTTTTTCACTTATTGTTTCATTTAGCAGATCTGTTTGAAACTACAGAAACCAGTTATACAAAGATATCATGGGAGAGCAAGGTTAGACACTGTTCCTCCTTTCATGGAAGGATTTCACAGAAGTCTGACTTCTTACATTTGCTGAAACCAGAGAAATGCCCGTGGGCTGATTTTGCTTGTTCTCTAGCTGTTCTGGGGACACATCTTCACTCTTCAGCTGGTCTGTAAGCTCTGTGAGGGTAGATATCACATCCTTACTTATCAGATTTCTCCAGCCATTATACAGCAAACAGTTGAGTTCTTTAATGGATAGGTATTTTTAAAATGTCATTTAAAAGATACAAGCAGTGGCACTCACTAGCTTCCATGTCAAAAATAATTCTAAAACTAGCCAGTTTTAACATAGATTTTCTACCCAGCCTTCCCATATAATTCTTTTTCTAATGTCTTACTATCAGATTTACAAAGGGCCTGACTCTTCATTCCGGTATTCAAGCCTTCAGCTGAACTGTGAATATCGTTTCCGTGTGTGTGCCATTCGCCAGTGCCAAGACCCTGTGGGGCATCAGGACCTCGTAGGCCCCTACAGCACAACAGTGCTCTTCATCTCTCAGAGGACTGAACCACCAGCCAGCACCAACAGAGACACTGTGGAAACCACGAGGACCCGGCGGGCACTCAGTGACGAGCAGTGTGCAGCCGTCATCCTTGTGCTGTTTGCTTTCTTTTCCATTTTGATTGCCTTTATCATTCAGTACTTTGTAATCAAGTGAAAATATAACTTTATTTTTAATATTGTATTACATTTTATTTTGTCATGTACTAAAATTATTTCTGTATTGCTTTTACAAAATCAGTGACATTTAGCACTGGCATTGAGACTATAGTACATCATTTTTGCCATTTTTAATGCTTATATTGTTAGGTAGAGGCTGGCACCTTATTAGAATGCAAGCCACAGAAATAGCACGTTTCGGTTTTTTGTTCGGTTGGGGCTCTTTTTCTTTTTCTTTTCTTTTTTTCTTTTTTTCTTTTTTTGACATGCCTTCTTGTGAAACAAGAATATATATCAATATATAATTGATACTTTGACCAGTCAGCATGAGTGTAACAGTGACAACCTGATCTGTTTGTTTTAATTATTACCTAGTGAAAAATTCAGAATGATTAAAATTTACACTAACATGCTATATAAAAATGTTAAAGTATGATGCTGTGAAAGCAATCTAGTGCTATATTTCTACCTCCTCATTTGTCTTAATTTGGTAAGTGGGATTATGATGAATAACTGGAGGGGCTTAGCAGACAAAAACTGGATGAAAGAATATGCATGGGAAAAAGAAGCTTCTTGTTTGATAAATGTGGAGTTCTTCATTATAAGTATATATTCATGAATTCACAGGTAAGTCACTTGAAAGCACATACAGTTTACTTGGCCTAAAAGTATTTTAATGTTTACTCAAAAACCCATCTTCAGGTCTTGAGAACATGGAAAAGAACAGAGGGCTTTTACATACTTTTTAAAAGTAATCATAATTCTGAACTTCAAACCTATTTAATTTGGTTTTGTGAGCCTTTGAACTATATGTGTGTGTATAAGGACATGCACGTACATATATGGCTTTATATATACCAAGTGTAGAAATATACACACACACACACACACTCACTCACTCTCACTCCATCTATCTGGTACAGGCTAATTTTGAAGAACTCCCATAAGTTTTGCTGCTTCTCCCATAACTACTGCCATCACCATCAGAATTCATAATCAAACCTAACCTTTTGTTTGGGGCACCAAATCCGAAGACAAAATTAATTTGCACCAGTAAACTTCAAGCTGCTTTCTTTCTTGAAAAACTAATGTTTAATGTAATGTCTGTTTGGATACTGTTCCAGTTGTTGATTGCATGTGGTTAATGTTGCATTAGAGCACTTTGCAGTTACATAATTCGTTAATGTTTTGTGAGCTTGCATTTGTGAGTTATTGGGTGATCAGATTGAATTTTGTCAAGTATCACATTGTACATCTTGCATAGATGTCCATGACTGCCAGTAATAATAGTTTGTAATGAAACTATCTAAAATTCTTGTTTTATCACATCTGTTATCTGTGAAACACTTGTAACTAGACTTTTTAATTTATTATTTGAATTTTAGGATAGCGAGTCACTAATTTTTAGTTGCTGAGGTTAGCAGTTTAGTGATTACTAAGCACTTCTGTCAGTCTTTGAAAAAAAGGACGTATGTTTTGTGCTTTGAAGATCTCTGAAGAATTTCTTATATTAGAATGAGCATGTATTGTAATTGTTTTATGTCAAATGATCTGTGCTGTAGAAAAAACATTAACCTTTGTTCAAAAAAGAAATGGATAAACTTGGCCTTCCCAAGTGGTAAGAATGATCTGTCACTATAAAATACTGTATGTTTACATTTTATTTAAATTTAATCTCTTACGTGTAGGCTAACTTCCCCCAAAACAGTGATTGAGATTGTTTTCTAGAAACTTCTTAAAAGTGCCACATTTGGCAGTACAAATGAGTTTGAGTGTAATAGCCCAGAGATTTCTATATAGTTGAATGTCTAAAATTGTAAAATGTGCCACTGTGGCAGTTGCAGTGGCTTATGTTTTTCATAGTAACTCAAATGAACTCCTATTTTTGATAGTAAATGTCATTTAATAGTGTACTTGCCATTTGAGCCTCACTGCAAAATTAGTGCAGAGGAGAAACAATTTTTAATGTAATCTTGATTTTACCTCATATACTGTACATTCCAAAAACTCTAAAAACTTTTTAAAGATTATAGATACACTACCAAACGTATCACCTTGAAATTGTATAAGGTTGAACTTCATACAAATGAAAAAATATAATCTCATAAAAATACATAAACTATGTAGCAAAAGTATCTTTAAATCCATGGAAAATAAAAGTTGTATCATTCTTTTTTGAGATGTGTTTATTGTATTCATAAACATTATTTGCTGCCTCTTTTGGAAAATGAAATGTTAAGGTCTCCCCTCTTGCAGTTGGCTTACAACAGTTTTCTCAAAATATTTAAATCGTCAACATGAGAGGATCCATATTCAAGAAGGTCAAGTTTTATCCTAGTGACCTGATTCTGTTGCACATTATATGTATTCTTTTATATATGTGTGTGTGTGTGTGTGTATATATATATATATATATATATATATATATATATATATATATAAAGGAAACAATATATCTAATGAATAAGGATGGGTCTGAGGTAAACTTCCCATTGGAAAGAAAATCGGACCATGCCTCACCTATCCTGCATTCTTTACCTACTTCTTAGTACCTTCTCTTTCCCACCTACAGGGGCCCAGAACCTTCCTATTACTGGCACTGCAATCTGCCCCCAGGTCTGCTCTCCACCAGAAAGTTCAACGTTCCCATCTACTTAATACCACACCAGAAAGTTCTCACATGCACCAAGACATTCAACATTCCTCCTCAATCTCTTTAAAATTTCCATCCCACAGACCTCATCCAGGGATACACTGCTTTTTAAAATCCAAGTGGGGCTTCCCTGGTGGCACAGTGGTTAAGAATCTGCCTGCCAATGCAGGGGACACAGGTTCGAGCCCTGGTCCGGGAAGATCCCACATGCCACGGAGCAACTGAGCCCGTGCACCACAACTACTGAGCCTGCGCTCTAGAGCCCATGAGCCACAACTACTGAGCCTGTGCTCTAGAGCCCATGCTCTGCAACAAGAGAAGCCCACGCACCACAACGAAGAGTTGCCCCCACTCGCCGCAACTAGGGAAAGCCCACACGCAGCAACGAAGACCCAAAGCAGCCAAAAATGAAAATAAAATTAATTAAACAAAAAAAAATCCAAGTGGATCTCTAATTGCCACAATTGCAGGCACCACAGTAAAGTTTACAGTGTTAGGCTGGGGAAGAGGAGATAAACTTTGGATGTAGGAGCATCACTCCATGGAAGCAACTGAGTTGGAATCCAGCCTTGAGAACAATATGATACTGACTTACCTATCACCTCTTTTCTGTAGATTGGAAATAGGAGTATTACACGTTGTACTTGAGCATTTTGTGGGTTGGTTTCCAACGCAAGTACCTTACCATCATCATCATGAACAGATTCTCTGCAGGAGGATCCCTTGTGTATGGTGGCTCAATTAGGCAAACAGACTGCCAGAGGAAATGGGCCCCCAAATCTAACACCAGTCTTCCTACAATCTAATCACCTACCATCAACATAGGTGATGATAGTGCCTTGTATTTTTTAAACGCTTTTTAAATATACAGTTTTAGGATAATCTATATGCCCTCAAGAGTATCCCTTTATTCATTTGTTATTTTCTCCCTTACATTCTTAAAGGGGAAGTTGAGAGAACAACTAAGATTTTAATAGTTGGGGTCAGCAAACCTACAGTGTATGGAGTGGTGCCTTCAAATGTTTAGATGCTATAAGGACTATTTTTCATCTTATGTGACAGGATGCTATGGGAAATTTGCCAAGAGAAAAGTTTCAAAACTGGATAGATTTTAAAGCCGCATGACCATTCAAATCCTAATAGCGTCTATTGGCCACTCAATGTGTGCTAGGTGTTGTGTTCAGGGCTTTACCTTAGTTATTTCATAATCCTCTTAATTGCTCCATTAAGTATAAACTGAAACATGGAGCAACAAGCATCTGCCAAAGATCACATGGCTAATAGGTGACAGAGCTGAGATTGAGGTTTGAATCCATGTGATTGGTCTAGTGCTCCCACACTTGACCACTACCCTCTACTGTCTCCCAGAATTCTAAGAAGGAAATCAAAATAATAGTTGACTTTAATATTGCATTTATGATAGCATTTACTGAGAGCTTCCTGTATGCCAGGCATTGTGCTGAACACTTCCCCACATCCAAAACAGCCCACAGCCCACTAAGTATTGAACAGAAAGAAAACAGGCTAGGAGACTGGTACAGGCGTATCAGACAGATTAAACACGAAGCTCTAATTTCTTTTCTCTAGAATTTCATCCTTTGCTACGCTGATTCCCATTTTGAGCCTCCACCCTGCCGTAGGAATAACCCATTCTCTTAAATACTCATTCATCCACAAATGAGAGAAGCTAACTTGTCCAAAAAGGGAATATAGCTACAATGTGGATGAAGCTCAAAAACATGCTAAGTGAACAAAACTAGACACAGCCAGTCACATATTGTGTGACTGCATTCATAGGCAATATCAAGACTAAGTAAATCCATAAAGATAGGTTAGTAGTTGCCAAGAGCTGGAAGGAGGGAGAAATGGGGAAAAACTGCGTAATGGGTATGGAGTTGTATTTGGGAAATGTTTTGGAACTTGACAGAAGTAGGTGGGTGTTGCACAACGTTGTGAATGTACTAAAAGCCACTGAAATGCTCACTTTAAGATGGCTGGTTTTCTGTGAATTTTTCACCTCAGTTTTTAGAAGGGATTATAAGACATTCCTAAAGACTGATATACAGAAAGCACACGACTAGAGACTCCTGGACATTGAGTCAATAAAATAAATTCACTTACGTCCATGTTTCTAAGGACACAGACCAACTTCTCACCTCCTTTTCAGACTTCCCAGACCTCCTTGGGCGTTCCTACTCCTTTGAGTCGGTGCGTTGTGCATGGTACAACTGAATCTTTATGGATGTCATTGATAGCTATTAAATGATTTGGCCTGCCCAAGCCTAAGTTATCAGCTCTCTCTGACTTTTCTTTTTTTAATTTTATTTATTTATTTATTTATTATCTTCCGCTGCGCTGGGTCTTTGTTGCTGCGCATGGGGTTTCTCTACTTGCAGTGAGTCGGGGGTTGCAGTGCGCGGGCTTCTCATTGTGGTGGCTTCTCTTGTTGCGGGGCACGGGCTCTAGGTGCGTGGGCTTCATTAGTTGCGACACGCGGGCTCAGCAGTTGTGGCTCACGGGCTCTAGAGCACAGGCTCAGTAGTTGGGGCGCACGGGCTTAGTTGCTCCGCGGCATGTGGGATCTTCCTGGACCAGGGATCGAACCCATGTCCCCTGCATTGGCAGGTGGATTCCTAACCACTGCGCCACCAGGGAAGCCCCTCTCTGACTCTTAATGTTTCTAGGATGACCCGGTGGTCTTGGAGAGGAAATTACGTTTTACAGTTTCAGTTTACCAACAACAGCAGCTGTGTAGTAAGAAATGTTCATATACAGTAATATAAGACCTTTTTCCTCACAGCCTATATTCTGAAAAGCAACCTAAAAAACATTTGAGGAAAATTCATGTATTAATGCTCAAGTAGTAATACTAACAGAATTAATTTGTGATTCTCTAAATTTTGATTCAGACCATTAAAACCAGCATGAAGTCTAGTATCCAGTCATGCTATGAAAAACTTGGAATCTATTCACTGTAAATCTGGCTCAAAATGACCTCAGAGGGGTGAGGAGTGTAAAACTACAAAGGGTCCAGAGAGTACACATTATTCTAGAAAGAGCACACGCAGTTTATAATAATATCATTAATTTTTTTTAACAGGACACCAAATTTTAAAAGATACTATAAATCCACTGTAAATAAATGAGTATAACACTGCCATTCATTGGGGAAAATAAAAATAGACCCTGAAAAAGAGCAATGAGAGGGGATTAGCTGCACTAAATTATAAAGATTTCATAACTGATAATACCAGTACAAAAAAATTAAAGGACAGAATAGAAAGCCGTAGTCCCAAGTACATAGAAGAATTTAATACTTGATAAAGCTGACACCTCAAGTCAATGGAGTAAAAATGATCAAGTCAATAAATGATATTGGTACAACTGGGTAGCAACCTAAAAATTAAAGTTGGATCCGTATCTCACACCTTACACCAGGATGAATGCCAAATGAATTTAAATGTAAACAATGAAACCAAATAAATGAGAAGATGTGGGAATACTCCTTTATAATCCTGGAGTGGTGGTGACCTTTTGTGCCTCAAGATACAAAAGTCACAAAAAGGCTGATCATTTAAATGCCATAAAAATAAAGACTTCTGGGCTTCCCTGGTGGCTCAGTGGTTGAGAGTCCGCCTGCCGATGCAGGGGACACAGGTTCGTGCCCCGGTCCGGGAAGATCCCACATGCCGCGGAGCGGCTGGGCCCGTGAGCCATGGCCGCTGGGCCTG